AAATAAAATTAAAGTTTCAGAACTTAAAGAACAAAGAAATTAAAAATTTTGCGATGTCTTATATAGAACCGGTGTCTCATAGAACCGGTAGTCAGTTTCAATCAAATAACATGATGCTTGTCAGCTGACTTGTGTCAGCTAGATCAGTTAGATGTAGACCTGAGTTTAGATTCTCTCCCCTTAAGTTGATGATGAATATTGTGCCTATGCCTAGTTGGTTGTGATTTTCCTTATGATAATAGTATGTTATAACTTTAATCTTATTCATTCTATCCTTATTGCTCTTGCATGCTTCCCTACCATGACTTGATTATGGCCTTTGTCCTTTAGTTTTATCACAAGGGACAGGCCAAGACAGAGCGGTAATAAATGATTCAGTTTTATTTTATTCAGTAAATAGAAATCAATTTGAAGGATATATTTCATTAATTCTGTCATATAAAAAATTATAAAAACATTTAACAAACAAACAAAAAAACAGTTTGGTAATTTAAAGCTCTTAAAAATAGCTTATTTTCCTCCTGTTTTGTGTCTAAAACTTTGGAGTTTGGTGAGATTTGTTTTGTTTTTAAATGATGTTTGCAATCCTTCAAGATTTAAATAAAATATTTCTGAACTTCTGCTGGGAAAAGAATAATATGAATCTATATTTATATATTATTAAATTTTGGAATCAATGTTTGAATAAAAATTACCCTAAAATACATAGTGAATTACCTATAAAGCAACCGACAGTTTTAAAAATATGTGTCAAATAATAATCAAGACATTTAGTTTTACTATAAGGTCATTTTGTACATGTTTTCTCTTCCCTCCTTGAGACTAAACTTTGATATTTCAATGCTAGAAAAGTTCTATTTTCTGCAATGTATATCTGCTTAAATTAAATTTATCTGAAAAGGTAATTTTTATTTATAACATGGTACATACTCTTTAAGCTCAAAAACTTTCAAGTAATAAACAATTCCTTTTAAATATAAATTCTGAAAAAACAATTCTAACATATGTTGTTGTAGAAGTTTCATGAAGATTTAGTGAAAGTGTTGTTCATTTTTTTAAAAATGTACCTAAGTTTGATGCTTTATTTGTGAGTGAGTAGCTACAAGTAATGAACTATGTGTGTTTGTATGCTGACAAAACTGTGCATAAGTTGCTAAAACTTTTTACAGCCCAAAAGAGGTCATTGGTAATAAATGGTCTGTTGTTATAAGATTATTTTATTTTATACACACAAAATCCTGCAAAGTTGGATTTGCTCATAAACTTTGTAATGGACTTTAGCATTCAATTGTATTCATTTTATTTTATTCTCATTTTATTTTTAAAAAATAATTTATGTAATATTAATTTGCACTTAATCTGGTCGAAATATATTCATGAAAGATAATACCAAATACTCAGAAATGGCCACAGATTATATTTCTCTACCAGCATCCCAGAAAAGGTGTGTAGCAATGCCTCTGTTGGCCCAATAAGGCAAGGAAAAAATGTTTCTCTGATCACGGGCGGCCATCCCTATTTATGCTGAATACAGTTTCATCATTTCAACTTGCCATCTGCTGCACTTCTATCTCTCTGTCTTCCTCACCTGATGGTCTCCTCACCTGATGGTTTCCTCACCTGATGGTCTCCTCACCTGATGGTCATCTTAGGATGAATCGGTCTGCAATAACCCACAAGTTACAACTTTTTTAGTTGTAAACCAGATAACCCAACAGCGCTTGATCAGATTTCATATCACACCATAATTATATCAATGTTCCTAGCTTTTTTATACTTGTTATTTCTCTGACTTGCACTTCATGATCCAATTTAACTCATTTTAAAAAAAGAGAAAATAATGCAGTGATGTATCCATTAATATACTTTTATTGTGTGCATTTAAGTATTGGAAAAACAAAACAAATTGTACCGACTTTACATATTCTTCTTTCATGTTGTTCAATTTTTTAAACACCAATTAATAAAATATTGGTTCAAATCTAGATCGTACTGATTTTACACTTAAAATCCTGAATGTCTTTGTTAAATATTTTTCTAAGTTCTTGTTGAAAATAGGGCAAAAATTGCAACATAGTCAAAGTTTTGCTGTACAAATATTGGTTTGCTAAGAGGGCAAAATGTTTTGAATCATGACAAAGCTAGCTGTGCTAGTTTTAAGTCTGGTGAAGATACTTATCAGGGCATGTTTATTAACTTCTAACTATAATGTTTTATGTCCAGGCAGTATTCACCCATTCAATGGTTTAGGCAATAACTACTACTATTGAAATTTAAACCTGAAGGATAATCTGTGAGTAAAGAGATTCAGGAAATTCAGCAACTTATCTCAAATTAAAATATAATTGTTTTTATTATTTTTAAAGATATCGGTTGATGTGCTGATTGATACAGAAAACTAGAACGATTTTATTGCCATTCCCACCCCTCTCTCAAAAAAAACGTTTTCACCATTATATGTTTTAAAAAATAAATTCATAACACTTCAAACATTTGTGTAGTTCGGCATTGGCAATTTTTTTTTTTTACGGTACTGAAATGTTTCTACCCCACATTTTAATGTAACTTAATTTGATTGTTTAAAAGAATTTAATTTTATTTGCAATTATTAACTTTTTCTTAGCAAATATCAGTAAAGAAAAGCTATTTTAAATTAAATCATGTTAAAAAAAATGTTGAAATTAATAGTCCACTTTACTCAGATCAGATTATGTATCTCTCAACAATTTGTAAAGTCTTAAAATTTTGTATTCATCAGCATTTGGATTAAGGATGTGCAAGATGTACTTGTTAAATTGTTTCATACACATAATATTTAAATATTATTTAAAATGGCATAAAGATTGGTTGATGTGTTGTCCTATTAAGCACATAATTTCTTTATTGTCTTTTATTTAATTTATTCACCTGCTTGACAATATTTTTTACCAGTGGGTTAAGGAAATTTTAGGTACTGGTAAAAAAAAAAAAATCTGTTTGCTTCTGTGAAAAATTAAAATCAAATCAGAATAGCCTCTCCCTTATTTTCCTTTTCACAGAGTCTTAGAAGAAGTAGTTCAACAAACATTAAGGTTAAGTTTTTGCAATGTAAAACAATGGAAGCTTTCAGTGGAGATTCAGGAAAAAATGCCAATTTACTGAAAATTGTAAACATTAAAAAGAAAATGCTGGACAACCCTTGGATAAAGGGACTTGATGACATTTGTCTAACTACCCTTGTTTTTATTGCATGCTATTTATAATAAATAATAATTGTTTATGAGATGATATCCTAACCTTTAACTACACCGGGTCTTTGCATTAATTCAAATGCTTGATACCTGGTTCAGATATGCTAGTTTTGGTTGAAATATCATTTCATTTTTTTTTTTTTTTTTTCCTTTTCATTTTTTTTGTTTTTTTTACCATTTTTATTCCAAGCTTTTCATTACTTTATTTTCAGTCAGTTTTTTTGTATATATTTATTTTTATAATAAATAATAATTGTATATAAAATGATATACTAACCTTTAACTACACCGTGTATTTGCATTTATTCAAATGCTTTATTTTTGTTTTATATATTCTAGTTTTGGTTGAAATATCATTTCATTTTTTTTTTTTTTTTTTACCTTTTCATTTTTGATGTTTTTGTTACCATTTTTAATCCAAGCTTTGCATCACTGTATGATCAGTCAGTTTTTTTGTATATAATTATTTTATAGCTTTGCAGATCGCGTGGACCTGCAGATAGTGTGGACCTAGCATATCTGTGCATGAGTGCTTTATATGAAGATTTCAAACAAAACCAAAAAAAAACCAAACTCAATGTTCAATGAGCTGGGTAGGTTGTTGTGCCTGGTACGTAATCCTGCCAGGTACATTTTTGTGGTGTGTAGAATTAGACCTGACATTTGTGCATGTGAGTTTGCTTGATTTGAATGTATATAGATATTAGACAATGTTCCCCCCTCCAGTAAACTGTGATGATTATTTGGTGTAGATGAGACCCCATGTCGTGTGGGATACCTGAGGCTTGTTGGCCCACCAGGCACAGGTGCAAGTATTTTAGTGAGATATGTGTATGCACTGACCAGAAGAAGATAATTTATTTTAATGTGTATTTATATGATTAAATTGAGAAATTCTGGCATCAAGAAACTAACTAGCTACTTGCCCTAGGACTGTAGCATATTTGGTGTAAACATTCTGAGTGATTGTGTTGGTTTTTTTTAAAAGTTGTTCCCCCCCCCCCCTTTCAAAGTATTTATTTGTTGAAAAGGAGGAGAGATGGTGATTTATTTGTTTTTTCATTGGGTGAGTGTAAACAAAACAGATAATGTTCTTTTATCTGATCTCCCCTCTCAACTTTTTTTTTGTGTCACAAGAAGTGGTAACAGTATGATGACCACATGTCATTGAATCAAATGGTGTGTGCATAAATGAGGGTATTGTATGGTGCACATGTCTCTTTAAAAGTCATGAATGTAGTGGTTAAGTTGATATGACATCACACATTGCTTTATCTAATGTACCATATTACAGAAAACATTGAATACATTGATATCCTGCTCCACCTGACTTGATCTTTGTTATTACACAATGTCATACGTAAGGAGCCATGCAAAGTATTGTGCAGTTTGCATTTTATGTCATTAGAGGAACTTTTATTCAAAAATCACCCTCACTGAAGTGGACACTTGAATAGTTCATAAAGTTTAGGCAACATTCTTATATTCTGTCTGTCTTTTTTTATACATACCCCCCACCCCCATGAAATGATCCTTGCTGTCCACAAATAAAATATGACCAAAACCTTTAATGGAAAGGAAACCCCACAATACCTCCGCAACAATATTGTGTGCCTTTAAGACGGCAAGGAGAATATAAAAACATTTTAACCGATTGTAAATTTGTATGAACAGTTCTACATCTCAGCTTTTCCTTGCTAGAGTTTTCTTTTTTTTTTGATTAACTTAAATCATGGGTTACACTATACTATTTAGGCATAATTGATTACCAGGTATATGTTTCAGAGACCACACAAAAAGAAATTGTTTAAAAGCCTTATTTATTTATTCAATAAATTTTACATTTCAATCCATAACATCGGTAGCTTCTGCACGAAGCAAGCAAACAACAGAAAGGACACAGCCACCAAAGACAAATCAGGAAGTGCCAAATTTTGTCTGTTTGAATGATGGTGGCAAGTTGTCTTCTATATCAGCTGGAGGTCTCTCCACAACAATCAGCATACCATTGGAAGTGATGTCCACAAAAAGAAGATACTGAAAGACAACAAAATTTCATTGTTAACAATTACAAAGTATTTTTAAAGCTGTGCCTCAACATTACAGCACAGTGTTAAAACACAACCACTCGTGTGTTTGTTGCACTGGAAATTTCACAGATGTAATTCAAAATCCAATTAAAACACCCCTTGGCTAAATCTAAATTATAGCAGTCTCAGGGTCTTCATTGCAAATTTATCAAAGGCAATACATTTGAGACATTATCATCAATGATGAAAACTATACCTTGTATTTATAACAGCTCCTTACTATAGAATCCATGTTACGAAACATGTTGTTCGGTTTTCCATCTTGTTCTTTAGTTGTTAAAGTCTAGTAGGATTTAAGTTGAAGAATAACAAATATATCTTTCTTATGGCACGTCCACAACATTTTTAAAAAATCAAGAAAGATTAACATGAGACTTCATTCATTTTTAAAATTCAGTGACAATATTAATATATGAAAGACTTCTTAAATATTTTTTTTAAAATTAAACAAGTCTCCAATTTTAAAAATTTAGTTAACTTGATTGGAAATGAACATTTTAAAAGTTGAGTTTATGCTGTGCATAAGATAATATTAGTTGTCTGGTGAGGGGTAATGGTTACACCAGCTGTAGTGTCAATGGATTGGATGTCAAATTGTGTGCCCATGATAAAAATAAAGGGGACCGATCCAAAGCAGCTGTTTCTTTCCATCTTAGAGATAGACGTAACCTTTTAAAGGGGTTTGAGGGGGACAAGCTAAGGATGTTGAATACACCAATATATGTAGGCCAAAACAACATGAAACCAGTCGAGTTGTGAATAAGAGTTACTAAGAAGCATGTTCAGTGAGGTAGTGAAAGGCAGGTAGTTCTGTCGGCAGTTCTTGAGTTGATCCCCAAGTTGGCTAGGAATTTCCTATCATATGAGAGAAATTGCTCCATGAGATTTCTCCCAACAACAAATTAAAGATGCCATAGAATTTGCTAGCTCAAAATTGGACTTTACAGTCACATCCAGACTTGCAAGGGACTTTACAGTAACATCCAGACTTGCAAGGGACTTTACAGTCACATCCAGACTTGCAAGGGACTTTACAGTCACATCCAGATTTGCAAGGGACTTTACACCCAATGATCTTTGTATACAAATATAAAGGCCTATTTTTAAAAAAAAATGAGTTCTATCCAATTTCTGTACGTTACCAGTACCTTGGACTTGTTCAGTACACACAAAGTTGAACTGGTGTGGAAAATTATTTTGTTGGGCTTATCAGGACAGAAGCAAATGTTGATTATGTGCTTCAAGGGCTTGAGCCAGTTCCTAGGTATTTGAGGACTTGTCTCACGACTCCAACTTGTGAATTCCATCTTGTCAACATCAAATTCATAGATCTGGTCAAAGGAAATAATCATTTATCACCAAATACAACCATGTCTTTATCTCGTGTGCCACCCACCTTGTCATTTATCTCATCAACTAGAATGTGCCTAAGCCAGCCCAGTGGTTTGGAACATCATTGTGGCCAGAAGCTGCTCGATGTGCCAAAATTATATTTATTTTAAAACACCCGGTACTAGAGTTTTCTAATTACAAAAATAGCTCTTCATTTAGGGACCTGTGCAAAGTCAGTGTGTTAGTGTCATAGTTACACATTGTTAGAGAGAAAATGAAGCAGTCAAAAACCATGAATGATAAACACAAAGTTTTGGATCAAATTTCAAACTATGAGATCAACTTACTGAGTGGTTACAGTATGCTATGACCAACACCGGAGAATGGGGAGAGAAGGCCAGAGCACTGACTTGGGACACTTGTATAGGACAGGAACAAATGTGCTGAAATATATATATATATTTAATTGGACATTTTATAAAAACAGGAAAATAAATAGTAAAAGAATAAATAACAATGGGAGGATACAAAAATTATCAGTGAGTCTAATTAAAAAAATGCACACATAAAAAGTTGAGGCATGTTTTATAACATATATAGCTGATAAATTTTTAAAAAATACATTAGTTGACATTATCGTGTACCCTAACCCGAGACATGATTAATTTTTATTAAATAAGTATATGGAAAAAAAAACATCAATGAGTTGTGTACTGAGCTGTTAACAAAGAAATATTTCATAAAACTATACACATATATATATATATATACATAAAACATCTAAAGAAATAAGCAGTAGATGTACTGACCACACCAGTCAGCAAGCTGTAAATGTGAACTCCATGGTCCACAGTTGCTATAGCTAAGTGTTGGTTGTCAGGACTTGTAACAATTCTGTGAACTTGTGTTGCTGAAAGAATTGTGAAAAAAAAAAAAAACTAACATCAGATAAAATTGAGGATGTTACTTTACATAATGCAAACACATTTTTTAATCCGTAAATTTCCAACACTCTCTATTTACTTTTTTCTATCTTTCTTATGCACTAAATAACTGCAAGATAAAAAACTTCCAACACAGGAAATAAAAAGCCTTGTTCAATAAGAAAAACCAAAAATACTTTAGAGCAGTCAGCCAAGTAAAAAAAAAATGTTTAAATTAGTTTCGTTCCTGACCTGAAATATTTTTTATTGTATTTTTTATTCTCCCAGTAGAAACCTCCATGAGCTGTATAGTTCCTGTTGTGAGGACAGCCACAAGATACTTCCCATCATGACTAAATGTCATCAGACGTGCTGGGTGGGCATAGTTTGCATCAATCTTCTCTAGTGAGCCCAAAGGCTGACTGGTGCTTATATTTTCCTAGTAAAAGGGAAGTTAACATGGAGCCATGAGAGATGGTGCCGGTATTGAGGAAAAATTTTTACTAGAAACAAAAAATTTTGATAAACCTGTCTGCCCATCTGGTTTACAAGCTAAATGAGTAATGAATTTTTAAACAAAGATAAAAGCATAAAATGTTATGGTGAATTTCTCCAAAGTAAATGAGATAGTGATAGAAATCTTTAAATTACAATAGTCCTATTAGTTTATCAAAGCTAACAAGGCACTCAAAGTAGACCTGTTACACTTTATCAAAGCTAAAGATCTTTTACAGTTGATCAAAGATCACTATGTGCTCATACTCATACCACTGCAGTTTATGTAAATAAACAAGAAAGTTGCTCTATTACAGTTTCCAGGAATTCATGAACATAAGACATTGTGACTATATCAATACCTGTACCTACCACATTTAAATTGAAGACACGAACACCTTTGGTATCAGAGAATGCAATGGTTCCTCCGTGTGACATAGCACTACACAATATGTGCTGTCCTTCTCTTGCCTTTATTTTGGCAAGCTTGATTCTTTTTTGTGTCAGTGGCAGCATCCCTTTGGCTTCAACTGAAAAACACAGACAAGACTTGATCAAATATATATCATTGGTACCAAAGACTTGATCAAATATATATCATTATTGTTACCAAAGATTTGATCAAATATATATAAGTATTGGTACCAAAGACTTGATCAAATATATGTAAGTATTGGTACCAAAGACTTGAGTTTATACAGGTCCTCTCATTTGTCATTAATCTTAAATTATGATATCGATGAAAAGTGGTGGAGGATTTTATATCATTAATGGTTGTATATAATTTACACGACACAAGAAGACTTACCAAAATGAGCATCTGCAGCTCCCAAACGCCAGATTTCAATGTAATCCTGGTATTGAATCTGAACCAAATTTTTATCTTTTGCAATATGGATCAAACCAGACTGTAAAAGAAAAATAAAGTGATTCACAAAAAATGTAAAAAAATTTGCTTCTTAAAAATAATTTATTTCTGTTGCTATTATGGTTTCTTTTATGTATATTTCAGAAAACATTACTAGGTAAGCTAAAAGTAACTGGGACTTTTAAAAAAAAAATGAAAAAGCAAAATAAAAACATTGTAAAATCATCTCACCAGGGGATCTGGAGACACTTCCAACACAGACCGGTTGCCCTTGAGTTTTGCCACATACAAAATTGTGTCAACACCTTTACAAAATAATTGACTATTTTATTTACATTCAAATGGTATTAGAGTTAATAATTATGTAAATTGCTTGTAAAAGATGTGTATTAAATGCATAAATGTCAACATAAGACATAAATCATGAATTAGAACTTGCATTAGAAATAAATTTAGCTTTTGGGGTCAAAAGAAGAGGTCCATTTTGTATTCTCTATGTAAAATACCTCCTGATGCAAGAAATCCATTGACATAGGCCAGAGCTCTGATGTCATGTGTGTGTCGTGTGTGTAGCAACTGATGCACCCAGCGCTTGCGTTCTGATGTTGGATCCGCTGTGTAGAGGCTAAATTGATAGAGGGCAGCATCAACTCCTCCTGTATAAACTCTGGTCTCATCCTGAACAAAAATATTTTTTAGAAAAAACTGATTCACATTCTTCCAATACCAGCTTATGACATGAAATATACAGTAGTGTATATAATCAAAATTAGATCCTAAATTTTATATTTAAAGTATGTAAAGCTAATCTTCTAAAACAAATTTATAAAGCAAAGCTACGTGTACAAAGGCAAAATGCACACATTTTCATTTACCTCACTTAAACACAAAGATAATATGTCTGCCTTGTGACACTCAAATGTCTGTTTGGGAATGAAAGACAAGAGAGTTAGATTTATTTCAAATTACAGTTATCAATCGATTCTGCAGAAAATAATAATTTCACATGGCTTGAAAAAAAAGATAAAATTTTGCATAAACATCTTATTGCCACAAGAAAAAAAACTAATATCATAAAATTCGCATTCATGGAATGGGGTGTAAACCAGTACTTTTGAAAAGACAAGTAAATGAATATTTTTAAAACAAATATATTTGTACATACTTTCAGTTGTGTTGATTCCTTCCCATTCCAAAATGTTACAACACCCCTCGAGTCACCACTAATTATTGTAAAATCTCTGTGGACAAAATGATTTACTGTTAAGCATTTCCAACATACTGAAATTAATTTGATTTATGAATTAAAAGTCAAATTTTTAAAAAATCTTTTGAAGTTGTCTTATTTAACCCTGGCAAACGTACTTTGTTACTTTTAAGCACCATACAATAGTATCCTTGCGATTTCTACATCCTAGGGTCATGCGGCTGATGGGCTGCCCTGATTTGTTACTCCACTGCCGAATGTTGTTGATGCCACCTGTAATGATCAGATTCTCGCCATCTCTGTTATACCATGCCATAGAAATGATTCGCCCTGAGGAAGATCCACCATATTTGTTATTTTTAAACAGTTATGCTACAAATCTACAATGCCACTTTTGAAAATAAATTAAAAATTTAACTTTTTAATGCAACTTAATTGTATGGTATACATCACAGCACTTACCCTCTTGTTTACAGAACCCTCTCAAAAACTGCAATTCATCTGAGACATCATACAATGCAACACATCCATCTTCTGTACCAGCCTGGGGAAATTGCAGCATGAAAGACTTATTACTTATTTTTATGGAATTAATGACATTAATTCTTTCACCATGGTGCAATTTATTTCTTGTTCTAATTGATCTAACTTTTTAAAGTTCAATTTCCCCATTTTTTGAGAAATGAATACTTACAGCAATTTGATCTCCTTCTGCATTCTTAGCCAAACACCAGATAGGACCAGCATTTGATGAAATAGAATTCTGAGGAAAAAAATCAGTAGACTAACACTTTAGACATACACCAAATTTGATTGATTGAATTTTCATTTTTAATATCTTAAAATAATAAAATGCTAATTTCAAAGATTTTGTCATTGCATGACATGATTATTCATACCTTGACCTGTTGTGTGGTCAAATCAAGTTCCACAACATTGCCACTAATGCCACCAGCGAAGAGACGACCATTACACCATAAGAGAGCTTCAACTGAGGCATCTTTGTCTCCTGGAAAAAACTAAAAAACATCTGCATTTTAATTAATTTTGAAAAATGTGCCAATAACAATGTAATTTTTTGAAACATGTAGTTCAATAGTTTCCAACCTGTTCTTCGTGTAGCCTCAAGGGCTCTGTGGCTACTACAGGAAATTAACTAACACCACTGACTTGCAAGACATAGGGTAGGCCTAAGAAGCCAACCCTCCCAGGAATTGATTTTAAGAAGGGCTCCGCAAGTCAAATAGATTGGAAACCACTAATGGTGTTCATATTAAAAAAATATAAGCAGCATTCTGCTTTTAGTACATTTTTATCAGCATGATAACATTCAGTACTAACCATTTCTTTACTCCAGTTGTCTTTGATACTCAGAATTTCTACAGAGGCATCAGACCTATAAGAAATTGTAACTATTTAGAACTATAATTCATTAAACAAAATACAAGCCACAGCAATCCATATATTTCATAAATTTTAACTATAAAGAATTACAATAAAAATATAAGAAATTTTAACATTTGTGAAATAAATTACATTACCTGGAAATGGCAACTCTCTGTCTGGTTTCATCATGAACAATACAGTTAATAGTCTGAGGCTGATACTCAAAAAATCGTATGTGATGAACTTGAAATTGCTCCTGTTCTGCCATTTCCCATTAACTTTACAATAGTTTAACTTTTAATACCCGGTATCTACTTTGACACACACATCACACTGTAGAAACAAAAATAATGTCATGACATTATATTTTTGGATATAGTTCGTCATAAAGAGATGATGGTGTAATCTTTATCTAAAATACAAAGCTGGGGGAGGCGAATTATTGAGAATCAATTTATTCCCATGCAACTGATCCCACTGATATGCAGCTGATGGACCCAAGGGAAGGTCAAATGATTACTACAGCTTGACACCAATAATATCAAAGGAGTTATATTGAAATTTCATAGAATTATATCTCTGACAGCCTACGCTGCAATTTTTGGATATGTCTGTCATTGTGGGATTTACAACCATAGCCGTAACAATTGAGGTGTAGCGTCAAGGCACCAGAGGTTTGCAGTCGAAGTATAACTGTCACTTAGATGAGCCACCATCAAAGTTTGACAGATCCCATATTATTAGAGTGACTGGATTTGAGTTTATCTATTTTCTGCTATTGCTAGGGTTTTAAAAATCCAATCCCCAAATATGTATGTTATGTATGCCCTGGTGTCAATACAAGTAATCATGCAGCCACCATTTACGAGTCATGAAATATAGGCTATCCAATAATAAAATAGGCTTTTTTATTTTGTGATAATAAAGAATCTCCATTTTATCATATCCAATTAGCCATATTTTATCTAAATACAAAATTCATTTTGTGTCTATTTAAATAGATTTTCAATATTAGCATACAAAAAAATGTAATAAACCGGTATACCAGGCAGTAATTTAAAGACAAAAACTCCAGTTAAGAATTTTAGATACTATGATACTTGTAAAGAGCAAAGCATTTCTTAGTATTTATCGGAAAGGACCTGGGGGTGTAACGTTAAACCATGATTTATTGTTAAAGTTAACCACTTTATTTCCCCTCATATATTGAAATATAAATATACCCGGTATTTATTAATTATTGTAAGTTTTATCCTATGATTGTGAATCATAATAGGCCTAAAAAGGGTAGCTAAATTGAAATCAATTTCACCCCCACCCTAACTAGTTATTTTGTGTTTTTTTGTTGTTTGGGGGGAGGGGGGGGGGCGGCATTATAATTATAACATTGCATGTGATCCCTCGGGGCGTGGTGTAAAAATGAATGTGAAGTGTATCTATTTTATTATTTCCAAGATATAATTATGCCAAACACCAACCCCAGTGTTGGATACCCTCACAAAATAGCCCTTGCAACTAGTAAAATATCCTCATCAACACCAGGCGCAGAAACATTGCAAATCCCCTCTACATTATTGGAGCCAAAATGATCAATAAATTGACAGTGGGTCCTAAATACCGGTATATAGAAGAAGAATAAATTACAGGCAGAGAATCACATACATCGATCATGAAGTTAAAGTTGTCCGAGGCATTGTCGTTGTGATATCAAGCGATTATCAACACAATACAACAGTATGACGATAAATTCAAAACAGTTTAGTGATTTTTTAAAGTTTTTTAACAAAATAATTAAATATCATTGATTTAGTTTTACATTGGCATTACACATTAATAAAAAAAATGCAGGCGGACATCAGCTAACCCCCCCCCCCCACTGGGTGGCGGGGTTATGCAATACTATAATAGGTAAGTTTGTTGTGGGGACTTTCTATGTGGACTTTTTTAAAATTTTTTAAAAAAAAAAATAAAAATAATTTATTTATTTTTAAATTGGCATTAAACATTAAAAAAAAAAAAGGAGGCGGGCATCAGCCAACCCCCCCCCCCCCCCACTGGGTGGCGGGGTTATGCAATACTATAATAGGTAAGTTTGTTGTGGGGACTTTCTATGTGGACAACCCCTATGATTTGTGTAGGCCCCCCATTTTCGTTGAGCCTCTGCCCATAACTCACCCTCATTCCCCGGAATGGATCGATTTCTTAACAAAAAACAACAAATAAAAAAACTTTGAAATAGCGCAAATCCTGTCCCAAGACGGCCAAACGCATTGTGCAATGGTTTCTGTGAGACACAGGGTAAGCGCAGACCTACGCGGTATGCCTATGGCTTTGTTATATAGTTTGCTACTGCACCGTAAGTTTCTAAAATTGTGGTGTTTTCAAAAGATTTACTGTGAGACAGGGTTGTCAATGAACCGTGGATATCTGTGTAAATTTTGCCAATAAAGTGAAAGCAAGATAGTTGAAAGAGGACCATGCTCATTAATATTCATATGATATACTGGTATTTTCTTTGAATATACTAATGTCAACTTACTGTAATTTTGTAATAGTAGTCTAACTTAGTCTAAGTTTTAATTGTAAGTACTATCTGTATGTACTATATAGTCAATGTAGAATTAGATTGTAGTTGAGTGTAACAGTCGTCAACAGACCCACCATTCACAACTGGTGACTGTCTCTACAAGTAAGTAAATTTGTCTTCACTTTTAATAAATTCTAGTAAAAATTTGGGTTATCACTAACTTACTTCAAGCAAATAATAAGATTACTATTTGAATAGAGTTTCTTAGGTTTCTGTCTTGATACGTATGGTTTTCAGTAGGATAAACTCTACATGTTGTTGCCTTATGGAAGTCGCCATGTTTGCTAGCTAACAGTGAATAAAGTTCTTCGTCTGATTGGTCAAACAGAAAAATCATTTTCCAGTATAAAAAAAAAATGCGCGAATAAAGAGACCGAAAGAATTAAAGTTAAAGTTTGGTGTTTTCTTATATTTATATAAAGTGCAATCGACAAAATGTAACCATAACCATTGTTAACTTTACGATATTTAGAAATAAAAATAGGTTCGTTTGAATAAAATGGTCCGAATTGTAATTCAGATGTAAGTAACTGCGTTTCTTTGTTAATTAATCCTCTTACTCTTAGTCTTAACTCTTAAAACTTAAATAGTAATCAGTAATAGTAATAGTCTAGTCTTAAAGTTAAAGTAATAATTCAAGTTAAATTTAAATTGCGGTAATTATTAATAATTAAAATAATTTGCTCCAACTCTAGGCTCTAGTAGTGACTTAGTGACTAGCCTAGAGCCAGAGCAGCGTTCCACTAGCCCAAATGCCAACTGGTGGTCCACGGGCCGGCACCGGTCCTCGAGCCTTACGTTGCCGGTCCGCTCAGCATGAATTGAATTACAATACATTCAAATAAATTTTAATCTGCCATAGTCCATGGTGCAATTTTGAAACTTTCCACCATCTGCCCAATTAAGTTAAAGTCTGCCAAATTTAAAGTTTGGGAAAGGTTACTCTGACACTCCACTCTAGTAGACTAGACTCTACAGTCTACAGCACAGTGACTCAGTGCACAGTAATGAGAATGTGAATAAGGCTACAACTACATTGACAATACTAGTACAGTTGTTAAAAAGTTACAGACTGTTACAGAGTGACTACAGATATGTTGAGATTGCAATAATCTGTCAATAACACTTTGAATTGATAGTAGTATAGTACAGTAATAATAAGTAAAATAAAGAAGTAATTTAATAAGTAGTGTAGGCCTACTACTAAAAATAAGAGTAACTAAGTTTAAGTATTGGCTTGTGATTGTAGTATACTAAGTTCTGAGGACACTAAGTCTGAGATGAAGGCAGAGGAGTGTAGTTTTAGCCTTAGCTGCCTTGGCTTTAACTTTAGCCTAGCAAGCTAACTTGTATGTAATTTAATTAGTCTTAGTTAAGTAGCCTAACTAATCACTAATGACTTAATGGACTGAGTAACATAGGAACTAGTTGTAGGAGTAGGCTCACTACTTATTTACTACTAGTCTAGTTAGTAGAACCCGGTACTGATATAAAATAGGACTTTTACCTATAGTCTATAGCATATAGGCATAGGTCTACTATATATTATATTAACTGTTACGTTTAGTTTTAGACGTTGCAGTTACTAGTTAGGTAAATAGGTAAGCTAGTAAACAGCAAATGTGTCAGTGACTCTAATTATAAATAGAGTGTAGAGACTCCCTTGCCCAATAGAGCCAGTGGGGTAATGCCAACTGCAAGGTTTGTAATGGGGGGAAATCATTTTGCCTATAAATATATTGAGAGGCAGTATTTTTGGCAACTGCAAAGTTTTTATTTATATGGGCATTTATGCCATTTTGGTCAAATTTTTAACCCCCCCCCCCCACTCCATCATCACAAATTATACACTTTTTATCACTCATCATTACAAATTCGTGGGCCCCTCCTCCTTTGAGAGGCAGTTTTTTTGGCAACTGCAAAGTTTTTATTTTTATGGGCATTTATGCCATTTTGGTCAAATTTTTAACCCCCCCCCCCCCACTCCATCATCACAAATTATACACTTTTTATCACTCATCATTACAAATTCGTGGGCCCCTCCTCCTTAGACATTGGGCTTCGTTTATGGTTGAGCCATTGCAATGCAGTAAATTAATGATATCCAAAATAAATATTTTCTATTCATGTTAATTTTATATTTTAGCCCAGGAGAGCGCAGCTGCAAAGAATGGGCTATAATAGAGCTCCAAGGAGATCTTGAAACGAGACATCCTGTTCCACTGAGCAGCAAATTTATTGGAGATTTGCATTTTACGCACAAGGTTTTTGAAGAATATTATGTTTGAAATTTATTTTGAAATATTAACCTTGTAATATCACTCAAATATCATTAATATTTTTACATTAAATTATTTCTACTGAAATTTTTTTCTTCTAATTCTTAATGTATTATAGGATTTTTTAACTTAATGTTTTTCCAATATTTTCAACTATAATAATAGTAAATCATAAATTAGCATTTTGTGATGTTTTCCCTCATGTTTCCAATATGTCTTCTTAAAATAGTTTCAGTTCAATTACAATGCTACAAAAGTAGCTTTATTTGATGCCATCCGTAATTGCAATGGCCTGTCATTCATGCACTAAATAATGTGCCAAATAGATCAATTGGGGGTAGCTTAGAAATTATACATGCTATCCGTACCTAATAAGTTTAGTGATTTGATTTATTTATTTAAGATAATTTCAGTTTGAAATTTAAAATATTTTGATGTATTTGAAAACATTTTTTGTAAGCTTATGTTATGGAAGTGTGACCCTTTTCTGATTGCCCTTTGTGTCATCAAGTATAAATTAATTAAAGGGATTGTGGGATTCTTAGAAATTCTAATATGATTTACGTTTACCCTGTTCATGATAATAGCAGCATGTAAGCAGTGATATCTAAAAAGACCTCTTAAGAAAAAGTCTTAAGATTTCTAGTAATCATGGGTTCTGTGCAAATTTTCAACAACCTGTCAGAAATCAGTACCAGTACCGTACCTCAAACTTTATTATCCTCAGTCTGATACAGTGGCCATTTGAGCATGTGCCATTCAGCCTAAGGCCATGGTTAATTATATGCAGATCTTCTAGAGTTGTATTTCTTGAGTTTCTCTAATCTGGCAATTTCGAAAGATTGTTTAGATATACTGGCATGTCTTGTACTTGTAGTGCTGGAAGGAGTGAAGTGGTCGATTTGGTATTCTGTCTGGTATTATGCTGCTGAAGTGTGAGTTTAGATAGATGTGACATGCCCAAAGGCAAAGCTTATGACCTTTTTAGCCGTTGAAGGGAATTTATGGAAGGGTTTTCTCCAGTTCAGTGTGCTCATAGATCTTTCATCTAACTTACCCGCCGTTCTGTTTACGGACATGATTTGTTGTCTTATGTTTGGTGATGCAGATGTGTTTGGCCCTTTGTTGGATACCTTTAATTCATTTGAAGACCAAATTAACAAGTATTCAAAAGCTAAACGTTAACTTATTTTTATTAATGGCTAAATAATTTATTTATTTTTATATTCCGTCCAACTTAATATTTGCTTGTGTATTTTTATAAAACTAAACAATGTATTGTTGTATTTATTTTGTACCCAGGATTCCCCAGTGCTGATAATTGGCCATCACATTCTCCATGGCAAAGTCTTAACTCTTGAAAAGCCTTTAGCAGTGTTAACTAAATCTCTTGACCATGCAAAACATGTTGCCGATGACATGGCAGGGGAGGATCCAGAAGTCTTGCCAGCAGCCGACTCTGAAGTAAAGGCCCTTTATGAAGTTCAAGCCATTATCAGGAAAAAGATTTTGTTTAAGACCAGACCTAAACCAATCATAGCACATGTACCCAAAAAGTTGTGATGCTTGTTTAAACTTGTGTTGTGTTCACTTTTCTCTGTTCACTGTATTAGATTGAAATGGAGGATTCTCAGCCAATCAAGGATTAAAAAATTAATGTGTCATCTTGTTTTACTAGTGCACCAGAGGTTATTTTAAAGACTCGTGAAGCACATTTTATGTAATGATAAAGACCATAACAAAATAATATATAAATAAATCATATTCCAACTTTAGCATAAAATTTGTTGTTCATAACTTTCTCTACGCATGGAGTTGCGTCAGTACTGTATCTTTTGTGGGACTATTTAAATATAAACTTTCTTTACTGTGTAATAAATAGTGGGTGAACATTTCCACACAAAAAAGATTATAAAGATTTGCATGTTTATTTTTTAAGTAACAATTAGTCTACCAGTACCAAATATTTTTTTATCTGATCTGGTAAATATTTCTTTCTGTATTCTATACCAAATAAATGAGCCAATTGCTTTTCATTTCTGTTGCATTAAGAAAGGTAGTTTTCTTTCTAATGGACAGTTTTAATCCTCAAGGCCAAAATCATAATCTGGTTTTCCAGCTGCATATGACTGGAAGAATTGTAAATGGGTCTTGACATCCCACATGGTTTCCTTGACCGCTGGCACTTGATACATGGCATCAAACCATCCAGCAAGTTTAGGGAACTTTGCCTTGTCCACACCAACCCTAGAGTCAATGGTTTCAAGGACAGGTATTCTCTCCAAATGAGGCCATAGGAAGAAGTCTATCATGGATGGCTTGTTACCTGCGAGAGGATCAGTTCCTTTTGTTAATGGTTAACGTATCATAAAACAGTTTTGCTTCAGTGAGCTTGATGCTATCAAATAGACTAGGCAAGAATTATTTGAAAGACTCTGTCCCCCCAATACAGAAACAATATAAATATAAGGTGATGGGTGGTTTGAGTTGGGGAGAATTGACAAGAGTGTGTTGCAGTTTAGGAAGCATGTGGAGGTATATTAGATTAGTTTACACCAGGCCTGCACAACTCAAAAATGTAAGGCGGGCGCTAATACTTTATGAAAAACTTGTGCGGTGCGAAAGATTATAGGACAGGGTGGAAAGCTATTAAGAAAATGATAAAGAATATTTTTTGACTTCACAGGCCGTATGTTGTGCAGGCCTGGTTTACACAAACAAAAATAAAATTTCTCTCAGTATATCCAGTGTAGGGGAGCATGCGCTGGAAGACGGGGAGAGTTTCATTAAAATAGAGGTAGCGGGAAGATGGGATTTAAGACAAGGAGAGAGAAACTGATATAATGTTTATAAATCTTAAAATGTTTGTGGTTCATTTCTATTTTAATTGCTCTCAATACAGTTGTTTTTTTTTCTCTAATTTTAAATTGCAACACGGGGCAGGACCAAAATGATCTTAAGATATGACCTTAATGGTGAATTAAACAATAAAATCCCTTGAACTTCACAAAGAGAAGGGGCGCCTAAAATCTTATTTTTACTGGTCCACCCTTGGCGGCACGTTTTAAACATATATATAAGGAGGAACGCCCTGGGCAGCACTTTTCATTGGCACCGTCCTGCCCTGATTTGCTGTTGAATTATGGCAGGGGCACCATGAAATATTACAGGTCACTACAATAACTTGCATGAGCACCAATTTTGTTTGCAGTTGCTAAATGACGCTTAGTGGCGCACATACTTGTTTATTTATTTTTACCCTGCCTGTTATTTAATTATTTTTAAATGTATTAGCTATCGGTAAATTGAAGTGTACTTGGAAGAAATTAACACAGAGCACTTGGTGCAAACCTAAATTTGGCAAGGTGGCTGAGAATCCACAAATATTTAGGAACCACTGACAAAGCCCAACGAAATATATCACAACAGGTACATGGGATTTATGGTGGACTAAATATTACTATTATTGAGTAGGCCTACCATTATAGTGATATATAGCCAATTCACTTCAGAAAACACAAGGCAACATGACGGTAATAACTACAAAACCAGGTGTGGTGCTTCTAATACACCATTATAGATATAATTATGCTATTTATGTACTGTCAGGAAAATTATTGCAGATTTTATGAATAAATTTACATACTTTCTACTAAGACCTCCCTTCCTCAGTGTGAAAGTACTATATGGATGGCCTTTAATTACCCTAAATAAAAAACAGATTTACAAAATGTACACAAATGTTCTATTTACTGATACTGACACACAAATGTTCTATTAACTAACATTGAACATATACTCACCACCAAATAATGGGCCCCCTCTTTTGGCAAGAATATCTTCATAGAATTTGTAGTGCTTTTGAAACTCATCAATAAGTTTTTCTCTCTCTTCTGGCTTTCGGTTGAAGGTATAAAATAGAGTGGTCACCTAAAATTGATAAGCAATTGAAATTAAAGATTTTAGTTAATACTTCCAAGGCACATTAAATTCTTCCAATGTTTGAAAATGTTACCTGGTGTACAAAATTCTAGGCAGTCTGACTGATTTAGTAAGGATTCCTAAGTTAGGTGAGCGTAACCCTACCGGATGTAAGTATATGGTAATGAGGTATTAAAAGTGGTTGTTCATTCATGACAGTAGCAACTAAACGTGTCTTTTGAGGGTTTCTATGAATGCGTCCCAGAGCATAGCAACACACATTTGTCATTTTTATTTTAAAATAGCACTGAAATCTCACGTCCCTCCAGACTTCTGGTGATGGCGTGATTCCAATTTAAAAAATTGGAAGTTCGTTTCGCTTTCAACCTACGTGTGCCAAAAATCGACTTTTTAGTCATTGCTTGTTATTTGTTTGCCATTAATGTTATATTTTTATTAAACTCGATAAATTTCTGGTTGCTAATATCAATAATATTAATTAATATTTAGCAGCTAAATAAGTATTTTACAAATGTTAGTCGATTGCAAAACAGAGTTACTTCCCTTAGTTCAGGAATACAATTTAAGTTCTGAGTAGCACAGCCGTTAGGAATGAGTTAACATGGCTGTAAACATGTTTCATCAGTCTGTTTATAACTACAAAAGAAAGAAATCTCCTGTATAGTGTCTTTTTGCAGAGATCATAAAATATCTACTGACCTTTCCGAAATATTCCAGAAGAATCCTGTCCCAAGCCCTAATGTAAGGGTCACTTGGCTGAAGTCTGTTCTGTGGGTAAACATCATCCAACCAATCACAGGTTGCAGTGGATTCATAAATTATTTTGTCATCAAGTTCCAAAGTTGGTACTAAGCCAAGAGGATTCTTTTCAAAAAACCATTCAGGCTTGTTCTGTAGATCAATATTGATTGTTTCATATCTGTAGATATACAATTATAACAAAATTAGAACTTAATTCAACTTTTGTTTATGAATATATCAGTTAAAGTTAAATAAGCCGAAAGACTTAAACCTAAGTCAGACCTGTTTACTATTATGATTTTGGCGTACAATTTCAACGAGTCTTTTATGATTGTACATCAAGATAGACAGAGATATACAATTAACTGGGGACCACCTATAATTTTACTATATATGCACTGAAAAAGGAGGGGGTAGGGGTCTCATAGACATGGAAGCGTACAGGGTGTTCTTGGGAGGGGTAGGAGAGGTATCTAAATATTTTTAAAGGTTATAAAACAACACAGCCACATCATTTGTAATGATTCTAATATTGTTTCTTAGTGACTTAGTGTTTTCACAATGAACAGTAATATTTAGCTTACTTGCCGTAGTGACAAATTTAGTAAACATTCATTTTTTTTTGCTTCGGTGCTGTGTGCTGTAATTTTGTGACATAATTATTTCGCTCTTTGGCTGAACAGTAGCCATTGTGTCATGGGGAAAACAACTGATTTTTATTTTTAAATGCGTTCTCAATAGGCTCAAATGTTAGTACACACAAGGATACAGTGCAAATATTTTCTAATAGCAACAGAGTGTCTCCAGTTAAAATAGTTTTTTTCTGACATTTTTTTATGTGGCTTTGACATTGAATAATGTGCTCTGGTGTTTGTTTGTTTTTTTATGTGATCTTTATTATTTGTGATGCACATATGAATTAAGTTCAGAGAAAAAAACATTTTTGTTACGCTTTGGATTATAAATTTCTCTTTGCCGGAGTTGGAATGGGTGTTTTGTAAACATTTGGTGAGTTTTTTTATTTAAAATTTTTAATTTCCTTAAATCATAATTACATTTATATATTAAAATTTCAACTTAAGTCTCTATTGCCTGTAAAGTGCATGCTTCTGATGAAAAAAAAAAAAAGTTATGATGGTTTAAGAACAACATAGTAGTGCGTAGCAAATATGCAAAATAAACAAGACCGCCAGAATGTGGTAATTTATTCTGGATAGAGAGAGTTAAAATCCCCTTCCGCCAGAAAAATTAAATTTTTACTTACTGAATACTTTTATAAGCCAAGACCAGTCTTGTCCTCTGAGCATAAGGACAGAATCTCATGCTGTACAAGCGAAGAACTCCAGGCTTAAGTGGAGGGAATGTAGACCCTGCAATGAAAGTGAGTTAAAATTTAAACAAATACCCTAATAGTCTTTTCACAAATAGATTGAATTCCATTTAATTAGTGATTAGTGTCACTTTTTACTTGGAAAAAAGAAATGTCATAAAATTACAAATATCGGTAAAAAATATATTAATTAACAGAATTGGGAAGATCCGGGCATAATGAATGATACTGTTGCAGCGAAAGAATATTCAATCATTCTGTGACTAAAAGATTTTCCTCCTGTTGCATTGAAACTTTGGAAACTCCCTAACAGCATTTCAAAGTTCATCAAAAATGGGTACTTATATAATTATGACATAGCAATGATAGGCTTCCGCTGACAACTGGGAACACTTGACTCTATTAAAGAGATTTACAATATACTGTGTGGCAGTTGTGTAACTTACATTTGATTTATTGCTTAATTGCTACACAATTAAATTGCTTACTGAAAATGTACACGTCAATTACTGTTAGATATAATTATAATGTTACATCTAATTTTTTAAACAATAATAGTTAAGAAAAACACTTTATTGACATTTCCATTTACAAAATAGTGTTAATCTTAGTTATTCATAGAGTGCTTGTGAGCCAGTGCTAAATTTCCCTCAACATGTTATTCTGTTATTATTATTAGTATGACTTGTCATATAGTGCAGTCCCCAGCCTAGGGCTGAACTCACTGCGCTGTACATAAAAATTTTAGCAAACATAATCGTGATTTTAAAAAAATAACATACATTTATTTAATTAAAAAACAGCTGTATAACAACAAAACAAAAAACAAATTTAGCCTATATTCACCCCACCCACCCCAGAACTTTTACATGACATGCCATGGACGGCACCCAGCAGCATCATTTATCGGACAGAGGGGGGAATCAGTCTGGATAGTAGAGTTTAAAGCGTTTTTTTTGTGCAGTTTTGAAGGCCTGGGTGGTCGGTATATTGTGGAAGTTTAGTCGGAGAGAATTCCATTGTTTGGGGGCGCAGAATGAGAAAGGTTGTTCACCGTTTCCTCTCTGATCAAGTGCAAAATGACCCCAAAAAATAAATTCAATTATGGGCCAAAATGCATCCCTGCAATTTGAATTTATCAAAATATTTTCTTGGGAGAGGCTCTAATCTCTCAGTCTTTTGACAACAACTTGAACTGACCTGACAAATCTTTTTTTTTTTATTTTCTTAAGGAGCAAGTGGTAATTTGTTAATTATTAATAACCATTTAAATATAAAAATATTTTGCAGCAAATGATCTATAATCTAGGCCTATTTACTATTTATGATTGATTTTTGTATATCTATCTATATACTATATATATCATACTTGACATCATTTTATTTTGACCCCCCCCCAGTCATATTGTCAAACATTTTCCAACCGCCCTCCTCTCACCCCCTATTTTGTCTGACATTATTTTTGGACTGCCCCTTATTTTGAGCAAACAGATTCTGTATTATCTTTCTTGACAAAATTTGCTGCACTTAATTTCTTAAAACTTGGATGCAAGTGCTGAATTTACCTGTACCAATAGTGCCCAATACTGCCCCAGTATCATATGTCATATCATTTTACAAGTAGGTAATTTTCTGAAAAGTCTACTTTTAATGTTATACTAATTAAATTGCATCTTTTTGCAAATACTAGCTGCTAGTCTAGCTGCAAATGTTAGACTTTATGTTTAAGTTTAATGTGTACTGATCACAATCACTATCACTGATGTAAATATTGTACATATAAATGTAGCCCTAGTTGGCATGGTAAAACTTTTACTAAAAGGCATGACGATTTTATAATAAAGGTAAAAGGCTTCAAAAGGTGAAGCCACTCGCTTGGGAAAACACAGATCACAATATCAATATATATTGTCTCTAGTTGACTACATTAAATTATACATAATAATAATGTTAATAATATACTTCTTACGGCAAATAATACTATTTACCCTTCTTACTAAACTTCTCCTCTTCAAAAGACTTCATTAAATTATTTTGTCGGTATAATAATAATACCAGTATATTTACCTTTTGCAAATGATTTCTGTGTCATTTTGGGCCTAATATTAGTCAAATTAGTGCAATGTGTACTAATAGCTGATAGACGCAGTCCTGCCAGTTCTCAAACTACTGAATACTCGCTAACCGTTCGTTCAATGATTGTTTTTATATCGAGGTCAAAGGCCAAAGATATTACAAAGTGCCTGTCATCATGACTATATAAAATATATATATATATTTGTTTGTAGTGTAAACACTAGCATGGCAGTAATTTAGCAATGGACTGATAATTTTTTATTTTTTTTTAAAGCAAGATTTGTGTCATCTTGACTTGGCTTCTAGTACCGGGTCCATGTTGTGTTCAGAACTTGGACCCATATTTATTTAAACATATAACCCGGGTCATGTTTGCCAACTCCACAAGTTTTACTAAATAAACAAATTTATAGTATAAATTATATGGAATTTTTTAAGTATAATTTAACATTAATCTTTGTAAAATTTTAAACATCCATATCTTTAACTTTAACAAATCAAATATCTATCTATCACAATCTATGTCTTTATGTTTATTTATATTTATGACTACCGGGACCCGTAATATAACTACGGGGGGGGGGGGGGGGGGGGGGAAAAAAAATAAATAATTTTAGTCGGCTTGTTAAGTTATCACTTGAGGCGCCACAGTACATTGCAATTCAAATAAAACCAGCGAAATGGGGGGGGGGCTAATGCCCCCCTGCCCTACCCAAATGATGTCCTTGATGCCCATTGTTACGATGCAGCAACACCTGGCTACTCCATGGGAAGATAGTAGCAACAGAAACTATGCTATAATTGTCAGTTATACTGTCAATAATCATATTAATACCCCCAAAAACAATGATATTTAGTCCTTAACAACCTTTTAATTGATTCTGCACTATAAAATTTAAGTTTACAAACTTTTTAACTTGTTGATTAACAAGCTAAACATGTAATAAAATAATTTACCTACAATTTTATGTGTCATTTAAATAGATCTGCACAAAGTAAAATGTATTATTAATTAATATTAATATGTTTTATTTTTTTATTTTTTGAGAGGGTATAAAATGTTGACATAATTAAATAGGGGGGGTCATCGAAAGTTTGACAGTTGTTGACAGAGGGGGAGGAGGTAAAAAATTGTGTGAAAATTGACGTAATTAATGGACTATCATGTCATATAATAATAATAATATAACTATTTTTATTGATTGAGCCCATTTTACAACGTTGTTTTATTGCATGACATTCGCACCAACGGCCAACGTTGTAATTGAATGTGTCTTGATTATGAACTTACACATCAAATGAAGCAAACAAAAAAGTCATAAGCGATAAGATCATCCCGTTTTTTCACTATCGTACCCGGTGTCCCGAAAAAGTTTCTCGGGACGCCTAAATGTCCCGTTTCTAAAACCAAGCACATTTTCAACTCACTGAAACTTCCTAATTTATAATATAACTTCAAGTAAAATATGCAGTGGCGTAGCTAGGGGGGTGTGGATAATTTGATAGAGCTCGCTCTAGTCGGTTCCTTAACATATAAAAGTTAGTTACAAGAGTGGGGTGGCACTAAAACATAGTACCACAAGAACAGAGTAGAACAAGAACAGGTTGCCACTAGAAAAGGATGCCAATAGAGCATATAAGATTAGGGGCGTAGCTTAGTATTAAGTTTGTGACGCCCGAAGCGGGTCTTGATTTAGCAGCGTTCACTTCAGAAAAACATGAACTCGGATGTTGATTCCCGTTATATATTTTAGATTCATGTTTGAAACACACCTGACCAATCACACACTGACCCAGATGTCTGAGGTGATCATATATGTGAAATTCCACAATGGGAAATTTAAAATAAGCAAAATGTTTTGGGGGAGCAAACAGATCAACTTAGTTCTGACTGTCTTAAAACTTTAAAGTGATGGACTGAACAAAATACGATAATGGTGCCACAATGTCTGGAATTCATAAAGGTGTACAAGCCCTAATTAAAAAAAAAAAAAGAAAAGAAAAAAGAACAAAAAGACATTTTTGAATTGGATAATATGTGAATTGACTGTCTTAAAACTTTAAAGTGATGGACTGAACAAAATACGATAATGGTGCCACAATGTCTGGAATTCATAAAGGTGTACAAGCCCTAATTAAAAAAAAAAGAAAAGAAAAAAGAACAAAAAGACATTTTTGAATTGGATAATATGTGAATCATTCCCTAAGCTTGTTTGGTCAACACTCTGTTGCTGAAACTACATCATGTTTGGTCAACACTCTGTTGCTGAAACTACATCATGTTTGGTCAACACTCTGTTGCTGAAACTACATCATGAGTAACATTTTGTGGTATTCTTGAGAGAACGTTTTCCTTCCTTTCTGCTGCCACTCGTAAATAAGGTTTTATTGAACACACTGGAATGTCATTGAAAAGACTGTCAACAATAAGTTGGATTGCTCATCGTGCTGCAGTAATCACCAGTTCAAGACAATTTTGATAAATATGTGAAGGCAATTGAACACACGAGGTACATGGTAAATTCTTTTGCATTGATAAGTGATATCTGTGATTTCACATTTTTCTGCTAGCTTTGATTTGGGAGGATAAACTTGAGGAAGTTAATCTTACACAGCAATATCGGGAAATTAACGGCTTTAACTCTTGAATTAATATATTTTGGGTACTTACACAACCAGTTATTAACTTTTACATGTTTAAGAACCGGTTCACGTGAAAACAGGTAGGACATGATCACTGCTTTTAAGCTATGGTCATGTTTAACTTTTACAAAAACTGGTGTGATCCAAGCAGGGGCAAGAACTCCTTTATTTAAGAGGAATATTGGCCTACAGTAAAGATATTACTTTATCATGCAGTATAATCATAGACCAAAGATGATGATCAATACACTATTACTTCCTCCATGGTCTCCGGGCCACAAGAAAAAAATCTTTAAACTAGATTTAGATTAAGCACTTCCAGAAAACACTTGAAACTATTCTTGGTAGATTGTATTATTGTATGCAGTGGGTACACAATTTGTTTTATGTTTAATTTTAAAAGTTAAACTTGAATAAAGTAAAAAATAAATTAGAAAAGAGTTGTACATTTTTTAATTAAAAAAAAATGATTATCATTTGTAAAATATAAATTGTATCAAAATATTACAAGGTGCTAACAAACAAGTCTAAGGGAAAAAAAAATTCTAAAAATAACAATAAGCTATGCCCACAAAACAGTAAAGAGAACTCCAGCCTTTTAAAAAGAAAAAATTCTAAACTGCTTGTTTGACATGTAACATTAGATTGTACCGTACTGTAGAGATATAACAAGATGTAAATTGATAAAAATGGCTTTGTTGGTATGCAAAAATATAAAGAACAAAAATATACAAATAGTGAATAGTTGAGTATACCTAAGTTTCACATAAAATTTGTGCTAACATTTTTCATTCAAATGAGATCCATTAAATGATATGATATAAGTGTCATGGGACTGTGAATAATAAATTAAAATTTTTAAGGTGTGTATAGGACACCTAGGTAAACATAATTTAGTTAACAACTTAGGTTTTAAAAAAAATTTATTTCTATGGACATTTTTTATTTTCTGATTTAAACCTATAAAACATCGACAGAATGATGTAAAATAGAGGCCCACCAGTTTACTTTAGTGAGGAAAATGTTGAAACAGCAAGTAAAAAATAAAAATTTATTGGTTGAACTAAAAAAAATTACAGGTATATATCTAAAATTTGCTAGTTCATTTATACCTAATTTATAACTGAAACTATCCCCTAGTGATAGAGCTTATGTAACAAAAATTAAAGATGACATCTCATCTTCCCATTCTTAATCATGATTTTTGCAAAGATTTAAAAGAGCATTTATGTTTTTACAATCCAAAATCATAATCAACATTTCCAGATGAAAAAGAATTGAAAAATCTGAGATAATCTGCCTTCTCCTTCATAGTGGCCTTCACAGCTGGGACTTGCTGTATGGCCTCAGACCAAGCAGCAATTTTAGGGAACTTGCTTTTGTCCACATCCAGCCTGGCATCCCAAGTAGTCAGAGCAGGTATTCTTTCAAAAACAGGCCAAAAATAGAAGTCTGCCATTGATGGAGATTTACCTGAAATTTAAAAATAAATCAGTGTTTTCAGTGAGAATCATTATTAGGTTATTTCTTAAATATTTAACTTAAGAAACATAAATGTGGAAATAATGTAGAGGTATTGTTTTAGGCATAGTGGCTGTTTAAAAAAAAAAAAATTAAAATATATATATGCATTATATATATATATAACTATTTCCGAAAGTTCTGCTAAGGATAAAAATGTCTTGCTAAATTTTTAAAACTTTTTTTAAGGTTCAAAATTTTAAATAATTACTGGTATTTTACATCATAAATTCACACATTAAACTATAAATTTATTACCTCCAAAGAATGGACCCCCTCTCTTTGCCAGGATGTCATCGTAGAATTTTAAACCCTTATTAAATTCCTCAAAAGCTTTAGTCCTGTCTTCAGCTTTCATCAAAACTGAATAGAATGCTGTGGTTATCTATAAAATCAGAAAAAAATCTTTTTTTATTATAAAAAAAAATAGTCGTCATTTTTTTTTCTTTCTTTCTAGTTTCCAAGCACTGAAATGTTGACTCTATAATTATTGTCTTTAGTTGTTTTAATTTATTACATTTCTAGTACTGCGTCAATTTAGGAATTGATTATTTAAATTTTTAAGAAAAGGTGTGAATTTAATAAAATATGAACATTCCTACGCACTGTTTTATCAATGTCTCCAGTTGATTAATTCATGCATTGATTTTTACTAAAACTAGAAAACCCAAAATGAAAATCAAGTATGGTACCATTATAAAGAGAGATTAAAACTAGGGATATTATCTGAATACCATTTTTGTTTTTTTGTTAAATTTTGTATCGTTTTTAGAAACCCTGTTTTAAACCGGTTTGGGTTTTTACAATCATGGCTTAATTCCTGGAGGAATGCATGTTAGGCATTTTTTTAGGGGAGGTGGGGGTAATTTTGGGTACACTTCATGTACTTTAAATACCGGTAGCTTATTTTTCACTTTATATATTCTCTTTACATTTTAGTTTTTGTTGAATTGTTGGGAGGGAAGGGGGTGGCAAAATTTATGGAAGAAGGCAATTGGCCAACTTGTTTATATCTTTGGCATAAGTGCTTGCAATAACAAGGTGACCACTTTTTCCCATCAGTCAGCTGATATCAATCAAGAGTGCTGTATTGTCAGATACCCATAGCATTAATGAGAATCCTACCAATTTTATGCATCTTTATTTTATAGTATCTATTTATTAAATAATAATAAAAATACATTTACTGTTGGTTTATTATTATTTTTCTGTTTTTAAATTCTTATTTTTATACCATGATAAAGATAATTCAAAAACCAGTTTCTGAATTTCAGCTACCGGCTGTTGGTTTCAAAACCAAAAATGAAAATCTAGTTTTCGTTCAACATCCTTCGTTAAAATATTGGACACTTTCTCAATTATTTATTTCACAAAATATGAAACATAATGACCTTTCCAAAACCTTCCAGAAGAATCCTGTCCCAAGCCCTAATGTAAGGGTCACTTGGCTGAAGCCTGTTCTGTGTGTAGACATCATCCAACCACTCACAAACTGCAGTGGACTCGTAAATAACCTTGTCATCAAGTTCTAGAGTGGGCACTGCACCCTGGGGATTCCTCTGCAGAAACCATTCTGGTTTATTTTTTAAATGAACATTGATGGTTTCATACCTGCGATGTGAACGCAAGAAAAATAAACTTTAAAAAAAATTTAACTTAAGTGACTTAGCAAGAGATCAATACTTCAAAAAAAAAAAATAATTTTGTATTAATGTTTCATCCTAGGGCTGGTTGTAATTTTCAATAAACAATTTTAAAAAAATACTTTTGATTACCTTAGTCAGTGGCAGTTTTATTTTGAATGCATTAATTTATTTGTACGAACAGAAAAAGCCATGCATTTCTCTCAGAAAATGAAGATAAAAACGTACTGAATGTTTTTGTGTGCTAGCACAAGGCGAGCTCTGTGAGCATAAGGACAAAATCTCATGCTGTACAGACGAAGCACGCCAGGCTTGAGGGGTGGGAAGGGCGCACCTAAAAGTAAAGGAAAACATTATTTATTTTATGTCAAAGAATAGTAAGAGGAAATTCAGTAGTATATATGCCTCAATCACAATATGTTCCAGACCTGAAAAACTCTGATTAGACTGAGATGCCACATCACTCAAGATGCTTCAGATGCATCATTACCATTTTTACACTCTAGAAAATATGATATTAGATCAGACAATTCATTTGGTACATTTTACTACTTTTACTTATTATAAATTGGAATGTGGTTTTGGAATGTGGTGTGAGACAATATGCCCTACCTTTCAGTAAAAATAAATGTTTTCTCTATTTTACATGGAAGGAGCACAACAAATATATTAGGCCATTTACTGCTTAAATTTCAATAAAATAAGAGAAAAAGGACAGAGAGGCAATTATGAAACTTAGTTCTACTGACTACTGTATAAAACAGCAAGTCATAAGGCTAAGGAAGAGTGGAAATTTGAGCCTCAGCCCCTCCCCCTTCCCTGTTTAAAGCCTGTCAACAGTCCTAAATTGCTAAATAAAAATCTTTTTAAAAAATTTCACCTTGACCTAGCAAAAGCTTATTAACTTTTCAAACATTTTTGGGCAAAAAAAAAGGGGGGGGGGGGGGGGGGCGCATTCATAAAGTATATCTTGCTATATTTCATTATGGTGCACCCCCCATTTTCCTGTATGCCTGCGAATCCTGGACATTAACAGCCGATCTTGAAAGGAAAATAAAGGTGGTGGAGATGAGATGCTCCAGAAACATTTTTGACATCTGCTATAGGGACCATATCTCCAATGATACAGTGAAAGAAAGGGTTCGTCAGGCCATTGGGGAATACGATGACCTACTGGTAACTGTGAAAAAACGCAAATACAATGGTACGGCCACGTAACAAGGAAACAAAGCCTTGCCAAAGAAATATTGCAGGGCACCACAAGAGGAGGGAGAAGAAGAGGAAGACAAAGAAAAAGGTGGGAGGATAACATCAAAGAGTGGACATGACTAACACTGGGCGATGCAATGCGTAGTGCTGAAGACAGAGAGGAATGGAGGAGGATGGTTCACATGTCATCTGTGGCGCCCCAATGGTCCAAGGACTAAGGGACATGAGGATGAGGAGGTACCCCCCTCCCGACAAAATCCGTCACAATCTCACCCCACCCTCACTTAAGTATGTCACAATTCCAAAGTAACAAAGAAATTGTTTTAAATATTAACAACTAATTAAAATTCAATCTAAAACATGGTTCAACATTAAAATTAGATACTACTAAGTTAGTACTAAGTGACATTTTTTGTCAGAATTCATCCAGCACAACAGAAAGTCTAACATCACTGTCATTTTCAGTTTTTTTATGTCTGATAAAAAAAAATTATAATTTTAAATGTGTGATGTTACTTAAACTTGTTACATTTGATCTATTTTCGTGACAATTTAAATATTTTTGTCACTTTCTTTCTAATCCATTATGTAAAAATTGAGGTAATTAAAGGAGGCACATATGAATCAGAAATCAGGGTTTGTCGAAGATGAATTTTTTCTTTGCAAAGTCCTGGTTGTACCATTGTTACTTTGCCTCTGAGTCTGGCTGATGTGACGGAGCATGTATTGTAGTTAACTGTGACTGACCAGTACCAGTAATAATGAAATTATCGTCGAAAATATAAATTAGTTAACATATATAACTTGGATTTTATTTCTGTGCAGTGGCAAGTGTAGGCATACATTCTATTATGGGGCCAAGAATGTATTAATTACATGGTTCTGTGCAACTCTTTCACTTCTGTTGCAGATTTCTGCCCAAAACTACGAAGTTTTCTAGATCCTGGGTACTGTACCAGTAAGAAAAATTGTTGCCATGGCCAATGGGTGAAGAAGATGCTTGAGGAGAGCCGTTCTGTGCTAATTTACCAACAAACTACTTAAACGGCAAATGATTTTTGGTGATTTATCATATGGCAATTTATTTTCATTTCTATTGGTATTAATAATAGTAATATGATGAATAGTTATTGCTTGAAATAAAATTAAATAACATTATTACATTAATCAAGATAATATTTTAAAATTAAATTATACTATTAGTATAGTTTTATACTAAATAATACTAAAATAATATTATATTTAAAATTTTGAATTTACTTACCGGCTTCATGAGTTTTTTGAGTCATGGCGAGTGAGTTGGTTTGTTTTGTTGGATTAAGTTATAGAGAGCCGACACTCGTAAAATTATATTATAACGAGAATTACTGGTCCCTTCGCTTTCTTTTATTTATATATAGGGCAAAACTTTGGCCGACCTAAGCGAACTCACCATGACTTGCTGATTTATTTTTGATTTACGGAATTCCCGTACAAAAAAAAAAAAATTCCAAGCCACGCCCCTTTCGCGCTCCACATCGCAATGGCAATTGGTCACCTTTAGGAACGTTATTAAACCAATAAAACTCTCAAAATCAGGTTACTCTCATTATTTATATTACTGGAAGATGTGACCCGATGTCACCAACGGGGCTAACCATGGAAGACATATTCATCGATTTGTTTACTTGCTACCTGCTCTTTCGAACAAGCTACAAATTTATATGTAGGCCTATATAACTGAAATGGTAATAGGTTTGGAGATATAGTATCCAGGCTCGGTTAACCATTAGGCGAACGAGGCGGCCGCCTAGGGCGGCAAATTTTTAGGGGGCGGCACCATTAATTAAATAATTAGTTGTCGTGGGCGTGGGGGCGCAGTGCGACAGGTTCGCCTAGGGTGCCAAATGCTCTGGCGCCGGCCCTGATTGTAGGCCTATCCTCAAACAAACAAACACACAACAAAAAAAAATTGATGTCATTGAAATATGTACTTAGTACAAAGTAAATCTGACTTCCCCCTGTTTAATAAGAGTAAAGACGTACTTTGTATAGACTGTAGGCCTATAGTATAGATTATAGATGTTCACATTTCGAACGTCATTCATTGGTTAGGTTTATTAGCCTAAATCTATATTCTATTACTATTTATGACATAGGTCCAGCCAACATTTTTTCACGCCCCTAAATTAAATATAAAATAATTATTATATTGTATTTTTATTATTTTTATAAAAACAATGACAGTGATTTCTATTATTTTACAGAAATCGAATCAATTTATATGATAAAATATATCTGCTTTTATGCCATTATAAGTAATCTTTAAATATGTATTATTTTTATAAATATATTTAACGATTACTTATACTTATAATGGCATAATCGCAGATATATTTTATCATATTTAAATTGATTCGATTTCTGTAAAATATTTGAAATCACTGTCATTGCTTTTTTTAATAATCCAAGAATAAACAACAACATCAGCATCTGGTCGTAAATGGAATATAAAGAAAGAATTGAATCCCGGGGCGCACCACCCTTTCACATCCCCATGCCAATGTGCTGAAGTCCTTTAAGCATGCATGGCATGGGGCGAAGTAAAGACTTCGACAAACCCGTGGGTTGGTGCCAACTAGTACGGCAAACTCCCAGACTGCCCCCATAGACCCATACAGAGTTTAGGTGCTTTGATGAGGGCCTTATCCTAGTGTTTACATTCAGTACATAAGAGACTCACAAATTTCTTGATAATCTTTATTTTCAATCTTTGAAAATGAATTGGAATCGTCTTTTATCATTTCCAGCTATTTTAATTAATTTCTGCATAAACTCTTTCTACCTCATTTTTGTTCGCAATTAAACGATGTACACTAAGAAAACACATCCCTTAAAGACGACCACCAGTCATTGTCGAGGGAGGACAAGTTTTGAATCGTCTGCTGGGGGTACTAAAGGAACGGTCCACTGTGCATGTTGTTGTTGGTAAAGCAAGTGCACTAATAAAAGCTTGGCGAATAGATAGGGAAATTCTGTGCTTGAAAACAAGTAGAGAAGCTGCATGTCATTTTTATATCTTGTGCTGTAAGCTAAAAATATAAAATAAAAATCAAACCAGTTAATTGCGCCAAGCTCAACGTTGTCATTTGAGTAAAAACTAATAATGACATCAACGCCTTTCTTAAACTAGACACGATTAAGACGTGTAAGGATAGCAGGATAGCAGGCTGAAGTCTGAATAGCTGGAACGGGAAATGGTTGGTCAGAAATGTTATTATAGAATCCAAGTAGGGAACAAATATTGTTTGTCTGAAGAAGTCTTCTTCACCTGGAGATCTTAATTCTTGTCATTTGAGTTTACAGTATTGCTGCGATGTACTAGTCGTAAACAGATAAGACGGTTCTTCCCCTCCATGTTAGCTAAAGCTGCAAGATCCAGGACTTTTTCATAAGTATTTTGCTTAAACTGAGTTTGAACACTTTTACGATGTTCGAGTAAAATGTCCGTAATTTACACATTTGTTAATGTACATTTACCAAATCCATCTGTGTGGCTTGAGTGAGTTACTGATTCCAGAGAAATGTAGGCAAAGAACACGAAGACCATAGCGTTTAAAAAGTTTCATTTGTTGTCGACTTGTACAATTGATTGCATATCACCTAAAAATTCTCAATGAAATGCGAATGATTTTCTATGTTGCTGGCCATCGAGTTTGGCAGAATAATTGAACTTTAGAGATCAACAACCTTCCATTTATGCTTTCTTGAAAAATGTAATGTTAGCTTTGATTGTACCAATGGCATTACGCACTTGAACTGTGGAATTCAATCATTAACCACGATGTGGGAGCCGATGCGCAGAGCAAAATTCTGCTTTTAGAAACATCTGGCGCATTTTAGTCTGAACACTCCCTTCCTTTCCAGCGACTGTGGAACAGCCGTCATATCCTTGTTCAAATAATTTTTTCATGTTCAGACCACATTGATTGGAGTGATTCAGAATAGAATCTGCAATTGTAGCTTTATTGGTTGGAATCTGATACATTATTCGTACATTTTTAATTCATTCTCTATACGTTGGTTACAAAACGTATCGCCAAATACAATTGTTCTGTTCCCAATATCAGATGTTTCATTGGCTAATATGGAGACTCCTACAGATGTGTTTACTGATGTAATAATTTTTTTTTCTTTTTTACTTCCTCACATATCTATATGACGCCATCACATGTCTCTATGACACCATCACATGTCTATATGGCACCATCACATGTCTATATGGCACCATCACATGTCTCTATGATGTCATCACATGTCTCTATGACGCCATCACATGTCTCTATGACGGCATTACACGTCTCTATCGGCTGATTTGGGATCCTTTGAGAGTACAACGAGCTTTACCAACGGACGTCTGCAAATGTGTCTCCAGGGTCTTGTCGCCAGTCTCCACTCTAACTCTAAGTCTAACTCTAAGTCTAACTCTAAGTCTAACTCTAAGTCTAACTCTAAGTCTAACTCTAAGTCTAACTCTAAATTAAATCTAACTCTAACTCTAAGTCTAACTCTAAGTCTAAGCGGAAACAGATCATTTCCACTGTCACTATTTTTTGCCACGACGTGCGATGTCATGGGTTATGCAGAAAATGATGGTGGATAATATTGGCAAAAGCTTATGTGCTTTTTTTCTAAAATTTTATTAGAATTAGACTTTTCGAACTTGGAATATCCCGGTCTGATATCCCAATGTTTCTGAAAAATAGTATTGTTAAAGAATGGTGTTGTTCAAGACTGGTGTTGTTCAAGAATGGTGCTGTTCAAGAATGGTGCTGTTCAAGAATGGTGCTGTTCAAGAATGGTGTTGTTAAAGAATGGTGTTGTTCAAGAATGTTGTCGTTCATAAATGTTATCGTTCAAGAATGCTGTTCAAGAATGGTGTTGTTCAAGAATGGTGTTGTTCAAGAATGGTGTTGTTCAAGAATGGTGTTGTTCAAGAATGTTGTCGTTCATAAATGTTATCGTTCAAGAATGCTGTTCAAGAATGGTGTTGTTCAAGAATGGTGTTGTTCAAGAATGGTGTTGTTCAAGAATGGTGTTGTTCAAGAATGGTGTTGTTCAAGAATGGTGTTGTTCAAGAATGGTGCTGTTCAAGAATGGTGCTGTTCAAGAATGGTGTTGTTCAAGAATGGTGTTGTTCATAAATGTTATCGTTCAAGAATGCTGTTCAAGAATGGTGTTGTTCAAGAATGGTGTTGTTCAAGACTGGTGTTGTTCAAGAATGGTGTTGTTCATAAATGTTATCGTTCAAGAATGCTGTTCAAGAATGGTGTTGTTAAAGAATGGTGTTGTTCAAGACTGGTGTTGTTCAAGAATGGTGTTGTTCAAGAATGGTGTTGTTCAAGAATGGTGTTGTTCAAGAATGGTGTTGTTCAAGAATGGTGTTGTTCAAGAATGGTGCTGTTCAAGAATGGTGCTGTTCAAGAATGGTGTTGTTCAAGAATGGTGTTGTTCATAAATGTTATCGTTCAAGAATGCTGTTCAAGAATGGTGTTGTTCAAGAATGGTGTTGTTCAAGACTGGTGTTGTTCAAGAATGGTGTTGTTCATAAATGTTATCGTTCAAGAATGCTGTTCAAGAATGGTGTTGTTAAAGAATGGTGTTGTTCAAGACTGGTGTTGTTCAAGAATGGTGTTGTTCAAGAATGGTGTTGTTCAAGAATGGTGTTGTTCAAGAATGGTGTTGTTCAAGAATGGTGTTGTTCAAGAATGGTGCTGTTCAAGAATGGTGCTGTTCAAGAATGGTGTTGTTCAAGAATGGTGTTGTTCAAGAATGGTGTTGTTCAAGAATGGTGCTGTTCAAGAATGGTGTTGTTCAAGAATGGTGTTGTTCAAGAATGGTGTTGTTCAAGAATGGTGCTGTTCAAGAATGGTGTTGTTCAAGAATGGTGCTGTTCAAGAATGGTGTTGTTCAAGAATGGTGCTGTTCAAGAATGGTGCTGTTCAAGAATGGTGCTATTCAAGAATGGTGCTGTTCAAGAATGGTGTTGTTCAAGACTGGTGTTGTTCAAGAATGATGTTGTTCAAGAATGATGTTGTTCAAGACTGGTGTTGTTCAAGAATGCTGTTGTTCAAGAATGATTTTGTTCAAGAATGGTTCTGTTCAAGTATGGTGTCGTTCAAGAATGAGGTAGGTCAAGAATGATGTTGTTAAAGAAGGGTTTTGTTAAAAAATGTTGTTGTTCAAGAAAGGTGTTGTTCAAGAAAGGTGTTGTTCAAGAAAGGTGTTGTTAAAGAAGGGTGTTGGTTAAGAATGCTGTTTTTAAGAGCAATGCTTTTAAAAATGCTGTTGTTCAAGAATGGTGTTTTTCAAGTATGCTGTTGTTCAAGAATACTGTTGTTCAAGCATGGTGTTGTTAAAGAATACTGTTTTTC